TTTGACAATTAGCTCCGGTGTGTTTTTAATTAGATAGGAAATTTGTTACCAACAAAATTACCAAACTTAGGATTAGTATACTAATCTCGGTAATAAAGAAGTATTTACCAAATTATTACCAGTCTAACTAAAATTAACGTAAAGTTATTACTATCATGGTAAAAACCTGGTACCAACTTGTGGTAAATGCATACTCATTTTGTGGTAATAAATGCTTACCGGATTATTTAGAGTGTGCTAAAAATAATGCCAACTTCCTGCCACCCGAGAACAACTGCATCTCTGTCATGATTTATTTACGGGTGAATCACAACAATTAGGACTCATCATGCTCGCTCATAACGGGGGAAACTTCATGAAGAACGTCGTTACATTTTACCACCGTCTGGTAACATTTTCAGAGTGTAGGAACGGATAAGTATAATTTTGTCCGAGGATAATTTTAATTGACCCTTGAAATCCTCCTGAAATGGCCGACATCCTGAATTCACGGACCCCAAGAGATTCCTGCCACCCGACCCACTCACAGGAGAAATATGGAGTTACACAGAGCCCGAGACAAGACTGACAACGACAAACGGAGAGAACAATTAATTATCTCGCTAAATCCCGAAACATTCTTCTTCCCAGCCACATAATTAATTTCGATCTAAAAAAAATCAGAATGGTTGCTCTCATGATAAGCGATATTTATTATGTTTCTTGCTTGGAAATTAACGTTTATTTTTATTTTCTTATTAAACTTTCAAGATTAAATTACATGAACAATTAGGTAGTTTCTTTTTACGTAATTGGTTCCTTTTCAGCTTGCTGACGCCAAAATTTGCAAATGTTGCAAATTAAGCAAGAGTGAAACCCAAAGAATTTGCAAATTTTACACTAAATATAAATTCCATACAATTGATTGAGTTCGCATATAAAAATTTCTAATGTGGGAATACTATTTTTTTTGTATTTGCTTCCTAAATCTTTGGGTGATGAAGATGGAGATGAAGATTTTGGAAAAAAATATGGTGGATTTTTAAAATTCCTCGCACTACGTAAATTGTATTCGAAATCAATATTACTAAATCTAGAAGAGCCTTCTCAGTGCTTTACAGTATACAGCGTCTGTTGCATACGTCAACCTGTGTACTAATTGTACATCCATATTTGCAAAAAATATAACGGCGTTTGCGTTTGCAAATTTTGGTCAAGATCAAAAAGATATCATATTATTGCATCCCATCACATTGTCAATTGTGTTTGCCCCATAGAAAAAACTAAATTAAGGAAGCTATTCACTCCGATGTTTGTAACTTCTAAAGGTTATCAAAGAAAATCAGGGTCGAACCTATTGTTAACTAGCACAGATTACTCGTGGTTTTCTTGTAAATATGTACTAAAAATTTAGTACATTAATTTGGTAAAAGTAGTAAGTAATTTGGTAAAAGTTTTCCACACAGAATTGAAAACGCGACAATTCACTGGGATTTGTGCAACGTTATTCGCCATAACAAAAATGTATGTAGCCTTACAGAGAGGAAATTCACTTCACACAGTCCTTGGTAACTTTGTAATCTTACAAACTTTTACAAATATTTCCAGGAAAAATTAGCTTCAAATTTGTTATTCATTTACTCAGGTCAAGGCTGTCTTTTTATTTTGTAAAAGTTGTAAAATTATTTTACAAAATTTACAGATTTTACAAATTTACCAAGAGGAGGGTGAATTGATTCTCAGGGTTTAATACTTTACTAAAATCCGAGTAAATTGTCTGCAAACTTTTGTAATCTGCCATTTCAAAACATGTAACCCCTTCAACTACGGACTTATGATTAGCATACAACTTTTATAAGTTTCGTGAAATATTTTTATTATAAAAGTATTTCACGAGCTTTTCAGATTTTGCAAACTTTACAAACGTTTTGAAATTTTGTAAGTTTACGGAGTTTACTTGGGTTATAAACCTCATTGATTTGTTGATCTATTGACATCACACGCACACCATTTGCGTTGGCTTACAAAAAACTTTCCTTATGCTAATTGGATACTATTTATTCGGCTAATTTACATAAAGCGGGACGCCCGTAACGGTGTGTGTACGGTGTACCCTTTTAACTTGACTATTACTTACTGGTCAATTTGCACTCCTAATTTGTTACACAAACAATTTTAAGAAAGAATTAGCCAAGAATTCAAAGACGACAGCGAAATGACGTGTGCATGTTTGATTTACTTTTACTACGAGCAGCTCACCAATAGCATTTTGGGGACGTGACATGAAGAATGTGATAAATTTTGGGAAAATTTTGACCAAACCTCTTACCCAATGTTATATCTAACATGAGGGTGTGGTACCTTGACCTCTGACCCCATAAAATCCACCACATGGTTCATACATTAAGTGGGTGCATTTATCGTCATTTTCGCCGAATAGGATTTTGTTTTGACGAATTTTTTTCGCCAAACTGTCCGACTTCCGGATTTGTATCGTACTTTTTTGCGACATTGGTACCTGAATACAAATCGTTGGCATCCTGTATTCCCGACCCGTTTGAATAAATATTCGATGAAATGCATTAACTGTAAAAAGATCAATCTGTCCAATTTCTCTGTCCGTGTCGTCGGAATTCCCTCAATAAAACCTGCTAATTGGTTATCTTCCTACTGACCCAGAAATTTACAGAGGTGAGATTTCCATCAGGGCAGAGATTCGTTTTCAGTCAGTTTTCTCCATTCACTGAGTTCGGTTGGATATCTTTATTTTTTAAGTTGCAAAATTTTGACAAAGCAAATTTGGAAACATGAGGAATATTTTGACACGCTTTTTGTCTTTGGGAACTATACTATTGTTCGTCTTGGTGCTAATTTGTGTCGAGGTGAAGGCAGCCCCAAGTCCGCAAGCTCCAGAGTCAAATAGTTTCACGGAGGTAGGTTGTCCGTCCGCTGTTTTTTTTTGAAATTTTGTAACTGTAAAAGTTCGAGAACCTAATATTTGGATTTGGGTTTTTGATATTTGATCCAGAGAAATTTTTTGATTAATTTAATCTTAATTCATGCAAGATATTGTTAAACCGGGTTAACTTTTGTGCAACATTGACACAAATTACGAAGGAAGTCAGATGTCACTCACCCAATTCGCGAATCTTTGTATTAAAATTTTATAAATTTGGAAGCATTCGAGTAAACAAAATGAATATTTTCGGGCTGGCATCGCTGCAGAATTTATGTCTCGAAAGGACGGAATATTATTTATAACAGAAATCTTAAGTTATATTTCCACACCGTTTGTAAACTTTCATGAACTGATACAGCTTTAAGTACATTACAACAATTCATTATCAGCATTTTAACATGTAAATCATCCCGAGCTCACTTGTTTACCACAGTAAAAATTATGATATTTCAGGATATTTTTTTAATCAGATGAATAGAGGATGCATAAATTGTTTGGTAACTATTTTAATTTAGATTTTGCATTAATTTGGATTGGTCCGCTTGCTAGCGAATTGTTAACAAAGCGGTTGATAGTTTCATAGTTGAAAATATGTAATTACATTGAGCGACAATTTTTGCAAATTAATTTTTAGCGTCAATACGTCATTTATTATAATTCGGAGAAATCGTGATTCGTTTATATAGGAAAAGTAATTTATTTGCTGACTTAATTTAATTTGCAGATGTTTCGTCGAAGCTTCATGAGGATTATTAGCATCCCAGCGCAAACGTTAAACATGTTTTTTAGAAGCTCGCAAGACGAATCTACCAGCGGTGGAGGTAGCGGAATCGACGGAAGGTCACAGGTGGGTCAATTCAGCACTGCAATTTTATTACAAACTTATTTTGAGTGGGTTATATTTATTAATTTGTAATTTTTATTTCAGGATCCCGCATTTTCGTCAGAGTACGAATTTCCAAGTTGAAATTTTAAAATGTACGAGAAAGCAAAATTGATAAATATAACGAATTAACTGCACCATTAAATTTTGAAGAATAACCAAATTACTTTTCAATGTTTGTTGGTAGATTATTTAATTTAAGTTGTACATTTGTTAAGTAGCTTGTAAGAATGGGAACCAAAATTCTCTGAAAATCGATCCCTACATATGTCCCATATTTTCTGAATTGGGATTTTATTTTTAAACTTGATATTATTACGGGCACAATAAATAATGATTTTTGAATAAGTAAATGAATTGTCTTGTAAATAATGATTATCGATTCGAAATCGAGAGGAAAATTTATCATATAAAAAACAGGACGCCGTACAAGAAAATTATTTGCAATGTGGACACATCACAATCCAATCTAACAATCTTACAATCTAAGTAAGTAAAAATTCAAGTTTCGTCAAAGTAAAAAAATCTCCAAAAATTTTTCTAAACTAAAAAACTAATGCTAAAAAATTAATCAGTTCCAAAAATTTTGTAGATTTATTTATTTTTTACTTTTGGAAAATTCCATTGTATTTGGACTGGTTACTATCTAATTGTATGATTAAATACATAATTTTAAATAATTTAACATTACGACTTGTACCTGTATCAAATTCCTGGAGAAATTGAAATCCCTTAAAATTGTAATTTTATATGTTGTGCAAATTTTAAGTTTCAGGATGTAAAAAACTACAAGTTGCAAAAATATCAGTACTTCACAAAATTTGACACATTTTCAAGGTTACAGATAATCGAAGATTCATTGTTGTGCTTTAACCGAGCCAAAAATTTAGAAAATTTTATACAGAAAATTGGTTTGTATTTACTTGGACCGGTAACAAAATAATATTGTTCCGTATTTCTGCTGGGGTATTTCTTCCAAATTACAGATAAATATATAAATCAAAATGCTCTTAAGTTTTTTATGTCATGTTTAGTGAACAAATGAGTTTGAAAATGTTTTTAAACGAGAAAGTTGAACACTACCAACTACGAAAATGGTGAACATTGCAAAGATCTGTAATTCTTTAAATTTCTTTGGTCCAATTTTATAGGAAACATTTACACACATAAATACATAAATTCTGTGCAAAAGTATTTCTTTATTTTTCCAATTAGTCTGTCTCTGAGTTCATTAATTTTATACAATTTCAAGTTACTTTTACGCTTAATAACTTCCTCCAAATCAAGATAATTTTAATTTAGATACTGCCTTATCTTTGGGACCTCTTGCTAGACAAACCAGTTTAAAAATGGCTTTAAGGAGAAAGTGGAGAAATTTTAAAATTGCAAGAATAGCGAGAAAGATAGCGCCCCAAATGTCGAGCTGGCGTTTCTTCCACCAAGGAAGGTGGACGGAGCGGGGTCGGAGGTGCGAGACGTCGTCGTGGCGCAGAACGTACTCCACCCACCACACCCCCGTGTCCACCGGGTGGACCGCACGGTCCAGGAAAATGGTCGAGAGGCGCTTCATGTTCAAAGCGTAGCTGAAAATTAGAGTTTCAAAATTAGCCCTGATTAAAAGAACAGTAAAATAAATATTTGGAACGGATTTTGAAAATTAAGTAATTTCTGTTCAACTCTTGGAAAAAAGTGTCTACCAAACTCGAAAATAATTTTTGCATGAATTTATAAAATAGAGTTTTGTATCAATTTTGAACGTAAATATTTTTAATATTTCATGAAATTTAGTAAAAAAAAAACATTTAGTAATAAAACCGATTAAATTCATGTCAGCTTCAGCATTTTTTAAGCAATTTGACTACCTCTGATCGTCCAAGACTTTGCCAATCGCCCCCCAAAACTTATCCTCCCTGATTGCAGTTATTTCCAACTGGACGCCGACCTTGCGGTACTCCAATTTGTTGGCGTTATAGTCTTGTTCGGCAAAAATGGGGAACCTGTGTATTTATAAAAATATTAATAAAAAAATAATTATAAAAACTTTGAAATTTTCTTTGAGAATAAATAAAAAAAAGAAATAAAAAAAATACGAACGCGATGAGTGGCACGCTGTTGCAGATCGCTTCCTGAATTCCCAGCAAGCCCGCATGGGTCACGAACGCCCGAATTTTAGGATGGGCTAAATATGTACAAATAAAGATAGAATTCAGAATTTTGAAAATAAAATTTCTAATTTCTAAATATTTTAAGTGAAAAGTATTTAAAACCTAGAATGGCCTGTTGTGGCATCCACTTGCCCGTATGGACATGATCGCCTAAACCCTCCGGTCTTTCGGAGCCAATCTTCCACACCACCTTCAACCCACGCTCGGACCCCAAACGGTTTAACACGTTGCGAAAAACGGTCGTCGCTTCAGTCCCGAAATTTGAAATGTCGACATAACTCCCAAAGCTGACGTAGATAAAGGGCGAGTCGCCAATAAAGGAGGATAGGTCAGAGGTCAAAGGTGCCGCTTTTTGCGAATCCCCGCAGTGAAGTCCAGGGAGGGGAATGACGTTTGGTGGGAAGGGGCGGGCATAGTCTTCGGCCGGATGTTGGTTGATGAACAAGAGGGACACGTTTCTCTCGAGGGCGGAGAGTGACGGCATTTCGGGCGAGAGGGTGGATCGCAACGTGGCCTCCAGTTTGGGAAAATATTGCATTTCGCGGATGAAGTTGAAGTAAATCGGGTTAAATAGTGCCATGGCGCGCTGGATACAAATTAATGCAAAAATTAAGTGCAAAAATTACAAAGTAGTCAGGATTCGACCTTACCCCAAAAGTGAGGGGTCAATCCCGTATGAAAATCGTGCGTAGCATTCTGCAGAATTCTGAATGTCTTCGTGTCTTCACAAATTTACAATTATTTTATCAGAAAAAGTTAGCATTAGTCTGCAGAAAATTTCTGTTGGAGCTAATCTGCAGTACTGTTTGTGCATAATTCTGCATAGTTTATGCATATATGTATTCCTCCACATGCAGTTTTTCCTGCACAATAATCGGCCAAATTTCTTCCGGAAAGACGTTAAAATTTTCATAAGGAAATTTACGTGACATGATACTAGACTGGACGGCCGCCCCGATTTTATACTTAAATATCTTACTAAAAAATATGGATTTCCTATTACCTGGGCGAAATTGATAGTGGCGGGAGGATAATGGAAAACAAAGTCGGGGACCCATGCAGATTCGTCGGGAAATCCGAAGGGGTCGATGTACCAGGGAAATGGGATGGCAGTATTGTACACGATGACCTTCGCCCCATGGACGTGCGCCATGCCGTACGCGCATTCGTTGATGAGCGCGTCGATAATGAAGAGGTCGAATTTTGGGCTGTCTTTTATCCAGGAGACGAACACAGGATCCGCGAGGAGAACGTCGCACATGCCCGTCTTAAAATTAATTTCCTCTAATTATTAATCATTAATTACTGAATATGCAATTATTAATTCCAAAATGTTAAGGATGTTTAGCATAAGTAACATGCATACAAATTGGCAACTAAAATAATCAGCAATTACCAAATAATTATACGAATAATTTGAAATAATATTAATACATTAGATAATTATGATTGGTTACCCCATATTCTGAGATCTTGTACCATTCGAGTTCCATTTCACCCGAGAGACGTAGATCGTTAAATCGCTCGATCTCGTCCCACGTGTCGACCCACTCCTTGAGACAGACTGGCACGTAGTCCGTCACGTTTGGGCTGGGCGTCTTGGCTGGATAGGGTGACAAAAATGTGACCTTGTGACCTCTGGCTGCCAACGCTTCTGTCAACGGCCATGCTGCAATTCGGTGAGAGTAGGAGGACAACCTAGAGGAAAAGTCCAGGAAATTTCATACAGATAATTTCGTATGCAAAAATTTATTATGGGTTTGTTTGTTGCTTGTTTTTATAAGAAGTACCAACCGGTGATAAAATCTACCGGCTGGTAATACCAAAGGAAAATTGGTACGATTTTAACTTTTGCAGTAGCTTTTGCACTAACTTTAGCAAAATCATGGTCAACTTATAACGTAAAACAGACCGATGATACAATAAATGTACGATAAAATTTGCACATGATTTTCACATAATTTGCTTAACCGTGAGCGAATTTCTAAAAAATGATGTTAAGGGCTCATTTTTGGAGAGAATGGAAAACGGATCCGTAATTCTGTGGAGAAACCCATTCCCCACAGAATTACGGATCCGTTTTACATTCTGTCCAAAAATGAGCCCATAACATCATTTTTTAGAAATTATTTTTGTCCCTGCGTCCCAGGCAGCCTTAAATATCTAGTTATGCACATACCCAAAGAAGAAGAGAATATTTGCAGCTTCAGAGGAACGACATGTAAATGAGATGAATATCCCAGTGAGCAGGAATAATGCAGTTTTTCGCATCATGATTAAAGACTAATTTTTAGAAAATGCTTAGTGATGGTAATCTGTAACCGATCCTATCCTAGGATCGTAAAAACTCGGATAGGATCGGATTTTCACACGGATCGGATAGAGGATCCGAGGATCAGACAATCCGATCCGATCCTAACCGATGAGATCCTAGGATCACACAGGATCCGAGGATCATCCGATGTAAACTCGTTTCACATTTGGTGAGTTCATCACATGGCGTACATTACCCGAACGAGCCGAATTATGTTATTATTCTACACCAGTTATTTTTATTTTGGCGTTCAAATTATTCAATTTAGTATGATTTCAACGCCAAAATAAAAATAACTGGTGTAAAATAAAAGGATAATTCGGCTCATTCGGGTAATGTACGCCATGTGATGAACTCACCAAAAACCGTTCCAATAAATAAAGAAAAGCAGCTGGTAAAGTATTTCCATAGTTAGACACAAGGTGTCTCACACATATCATCCGCGGATATCCTACCATCCTAGGATCGGATCGCATCGGATTTCGAGTAGAACCGGGAGCCGATCCGATCCTAAAGCGAGCAAATCCGATCCGATCCGATCCTGTATTTATCCGATCCTATCCTACGGATCGGTTAATTTAGGATACGGATTACCATCCCTAAAAATGCTTATAAAAAACTTTAGAATTAAATAATTTGTTACGTTACATGACGGAGTAACGTGGGCACAATGTCTTATCAGTCACAAAACACAAATGCAAAACAATTGGGACGATAAGACCATAACTTATCTTGTTATTCTTTGGCTACTGCTTGAGTAAATATCGTGTTTGGGGAATAAGATCCTGTTACAGCGTAGTGATGAATTATATATATTTTGGTAACAAATTGTTACTAAATGATTTCCAAATATGACGAATTGATAAGAAATCTCAGCGAAGACGGTGTGTGTTCCAGTGGTGAATTTTGTTTTTAGTGTTGTCCATAACTCGGTGAAGTTTGTATGCATAGCAGAAAACTCATCATCATCCATCTGTGTTGATTAGATAATTGGTGGCAAAGCTGCTTCTATTCGCAAACATGGAACGATGGCCTTGGCTTTGAATGGTCACAAGTGGACAGCTTAATTATTCCCATTCGCTCGTGACGTAAGAAAAAAATATAGATCGACGGTCGGGTCAATTGGCAGATTTGCAGAATTTAAGTGGAACAGAGATGTATTAGTAATACTGCAACGACGTTTATGACAAAATAATTTGGAAACTTAATATTTGTTTCGTAAAGGTGAAAAACGGATCGTGTCTATTTTTTTTTTGGAAATATTTAGTAGAACGAATGAAGTGTTTCAGTTCGTTTCATGAGAAGCATATAAATTGGTGAATACTGGTTTTGCATATTTTTTATGCAAATCATTTGTAAATACTTAATAATGGAACATTGAACAAGCAAAATTTGCAATTGTCACGTAAGTAAAGAATTTGTCGGGGTGGAGGAAGTCGATACATTTGGTGGACATGTGCTTGTGACCTCTTGGCCTCCATATTTCCCGAAAAGTATTAGGGTTCACTCTCCACGCGGACAAATAATCATGACTCAAGAATTTCTGCAGAATGAAAATTACTTTGATTGCAACGAGCAAATAGAAAAATTTGGGGGTACTCAAGTAAACAGCTTAATTTGGAGGTTTAGCAAAAGCTAAATTTTTCCGTACCATTTATCGTTAAGAATTGCAACTAGTTTTGCAGAAACATTTTGGCTAAATACACATAATCCTTCTTGCTGGAGTTTCGAAGTTAAAATTTTGTTTTAAATTTGAAACCTGGTAAATTAGATGTGCAGCAAAGTGGAGTTAAGATTTTGCAAAAATCTTTTTCCCCATTTTTTTCAAGACTCGACGTGAGTTTGCCGACGTCTAAACTTTCAAACTTGACGTTTGCTAACATCAAAAAACCTCACTCCTTGAACAAACAATGATTCATGGAAAAACCTACGTATCTGATATAAAAGTGGGTATCGTGGCATGAATACAGCTTCCTGACAATTTTCTCGGCAGAAGGAAAGTTTCCATTTTTTTGAGACAAAAGTTAACAAATTTTCAATATAAATTTGAACATGCGAAGATTTCCGAACTTTGTACTTTTGATCGTACTGATTGTGGGAAAGGTTTCCTGTAAAGATAGCACCGGAGGAGTCGTCAAGTATCAAAACCCACCGAAAATGTATTCTCACCACAGGATGAAGACTAATAAAAGTAATCAGTCCGCAGATTTTTAGAATTTTGTAACCGAATAAAACCTATAATTTTACAAGTCTATGAAAATTTTGAAAAATTGTGAAGGAAAAATGAGCTATTTATTATTGGTAACTTTGAAAAAAATTGAGTAACAATCAATCTGTGACTTTGTAACCTGATTTCCCTTCGCAATTTGTGTAAACTGGAGCCTTTTATAATGGAGCGCATAGATAATCCAATTTAATAAATTTCCAAATTTTTTGAAATTTATTTTGTTTCACTTAGGACTACATAGTTTTGTGAACGTGACCACCATAATTACGCCACCGGAAGTGAGGAAAAGGACGCTACCAGAAACGAGAACGGAGACGCCACCAACTTGGATAAGCAGTCAAGGCGATTGGCTACCCGTTCCTCAAAACCCAAGTTATCCACCTCCTCCGACTTATCATCATTATGTTAACCCTACCAGTGAAACTGCAAGTGGAGCTTATCCTCACGCCTACGTTGACGACCAGGGTCAACTTGCAACCAACGCTTTGGCTCCGTACCGTATCCCAGTAGAAAATTACTATGTCCCAGAATCTCCCAACTTTCAATATGACGTTACACCCACCTTATCATCAGATTTGGGACCACATTATCGACGACAATTTTTGACGCATCCATCAGGCAAGGTGTGTGACGGGAAGAAGAACTTGGTCGACGATTTTGGCATCGTGTCCCTCATTTTGTCCGCATTCTCGACATTTGTCGGATTCAGTTTGGATTTGGTGTTGTCGTTTAAGGTAAAAAAAATTGTTGCATTTGTTACTTGACTAGATTTATTTCGGTTGTCCTAATTTTGACCTTCCTTTACCTTAAATAATTTCAATGTCAACCTCATCTTAATCTTTGAAACATTAGTCCGGTGTTTAAGGCTTATCTTCCCTGGTAATTTCGATCCAATCTTAAATTTGAAATATCTTCCTTATAAATATGATCATAATTAAATCGTCCCTTTGATCTAATTCAATTTGACCTTATCTTTGCTATTTATAGGCCAACGCGGTGGCCATAATAGCGAAAATTTTCAGTCTTATCTTCACCCTGCCGTCGTCCTACATCTCGGCGATCAACGTGGCGAATCCGTTCACTTATCTGTTCTCGAACGGGTTGAATATCTTATCGATTGCGACTACACTCTTCGGAACGGGAGCTGGCGTCTCCGTCGGAAACTTGAGCTTAGGGATTGACATACTTTTCGAAATTTTGGGAATTTACGGCCTCTTTTTATCCATTTTTTCCACCTTTCCCGACCTTTTTGACGAGGTGGTTGAGGCCGCGTTCGTGTGGGGGGTTGGGCCCCAGGTGAAAAACTTTATTGAAACTTACGGCTGTCAAAATCCGTACTATGAACCGACAAGTATTATATAAAAAAAATTGTATAAATTTGAACGCCGATGTTTGAACTATGCAAAGTTGCAAAAGTTGTTTCACGATTGTTATTAGTTTATTAACTCAAAGAATTAAATATGAGAAGACCAGTATATTTTATAAAAATAAATTATGAAAGTTTGTAAACTGAATGATTTTTGCAAAGTCTTGATAATTTTATAACTATTATATCGATGTTTTAGCCCAGTGAAATTTACACAATTATTTAATAAAGGGCTGATTTTGAGTAATTTATACAGAGTCATTTTTAATTTTAACTTTACGGAGAACGTGAAAATGATGCATTTTGGTTGATTGGATTGATGTACATTAAACTGATTTTTTACGATTACTCAAACTCATCAACTTTTCTCCTGAGAAGAAGTATACATATATTGATGTCTCTGCTCGATTAGTAGATTTGCGACCATCAATGGGAGTCAGAAGCCAAGTTCCCATTCTGGTCGACAAAATGAAGGGCACCTTTGAGAGAGAAAGGAAGGAATGAAAGGATGAAGGAATCAAGGACGTTGTGCACATTTTTCCATAGATCATGCATTTTGCTACGAAACCACTCACAAAAACAACAAACCTTTTTAAATGTAGTTATTTATTAGTATAAATGCACCCTATTCAAAATAGAGTTTTCACTTTTTTGACAGATTTTTTCACAGCACAGGGAAGTGACATTTTGAGGCTATTAATTCTATACATAAGTTTAACTCACAAGCAGAAGGGGATTAAAAATGGGTTACCTTCATTAATTTGTTTCTGGATAGTTTCGGCGTTTTAACTCTTAAATTACATACCAATAAAAAGGTCCAACTCGATGATTAAAATTTGAAAATGCTACATACGTTTTAAGTTACAAAATTACGCTTAAAATGTTCTTGTTAAATGTAAAATGATGTATTTATGAAATTGTTTTATGTATTTTGGTAAATTGTTGAATATGCGTCTAAGATCGCCCCGTGACGTGGTGGTGGTTGCCATGGTGACGTCAGGGTGGGATTTTGAGTGCGCGTCGTCCTTTGTTATAAGTCGTAGTAAGTAAGTAGGTAGAAGAAATCTACACAGTCGAATTTTAGTCGTTGTCAGAGTCAGACATTTTGGATTTTAGTCGTCGTGGTAGGAAATCAAGAGTAAGAATTGTTAATTCTTTGTAATTGATGTCCACGATTAATTTGTTAATAGTAAGTCACCAATCAACTCGTGTTAGTGCAGAGCTCTGAATTGTGTTGACAATTTGATAATTTGTTGAAAATAAAATCCAGTTTAAGTAGATAAAATAATCGTATAATCACTCAGTCACTTTCTTTAATTCCAACGAGCAAGGCACAATTAAATATTCGTAAAGACACTATACTCCGGGTAGGTGATAGCTTGGTTTTTACATTAGTGGTGACCTCGACGTGATTGCTCGTTGGGTCAGTTTTAGTTGAAAGTGGACTAGTTATAGTGGTCAGTGAGTTGTGACCTTTTGAGTGAATTAGTGTACGTGCAAAGACTGTTCCGTGGAAATCCTGTGCAAGTGTTGCTGTCTGGACGAGGAGCAGATCGAATTGGTGTACGTGCAAAAAGTGTTCCGTGGAAATCCTGGGCGATTGTTGCCGTCTGGACGAGGAGCAGATTCGAAGGAGAGGATTCACATCAAGCCTTGCCTCATTGAGGACCCGACCCTGAGTATTCGGGGGCTGTTCAGGTGATACCTTTCAAGTTTTATTTTGTTGCTGTGAAGTAGTCCGTGAGGAAGGAGTGACCGACCAGATTGACATCGGCGTGTCCGACCGAAAGCAACTTCAACTTTATTCGTCTATTAATCAATTACTGTCTTGCCTCGTTGAGGGCCCCATCCTGAGCGTTCGGGAGCCATAGAGGTCGGCATTGTTGCTGATTGAGTTAATAAGCGTGTACTGTTCTAATTGTTTTGTTTGTTGGATTTGAGATAACATCATGGATCGACTGAAGAAGGCGAGGGCTCCAGTTCGAGCTTCCATTACCAAGACGGTGGATGGTGTAGTTGCTGAGTTGGCGAAAGATCCAAAGGACTCGAGAGAACTTACCATCAAGTTAAGGAAGTTGGAATCCCTGCAGACGTCGATCAGAGAACATGATGAAAAAGTGCTTACCCAGATGTTGGATGACAATTGCACGGCGGAGTCTTATGGGGAGGAGAGTGTAGTGAATGAAGAATATTCAGATAGAATCAGAGTTTCTATCATGGATATTGAGAAGATTCTTAATGCAGAAATCCGTCCACCAAGTCCGAGTGCAAGTAGCAGCTATGTCACCGTGAATGGGGAGCGTATCAAGAAGAATAGAAACTTCAAGCTGCCCAAGATCGAGCTACAGAAATTCGATGGGAGTTGGAAGAGCTGGTTGGGGTGGTGGGCTCAATACCGTCAGATTCACGAAGATGATGAATTGCAAGTAAACGTGAAGTTTCAGTATTTGATTCAAGCCATCGTCCCCGGATCAGAAGCAGAAAAAGTGATCAAGATTTATCCACGGTCGGATCAGAATTATCCTTTGGTGGTTGAGAAGCTGAAGTCCCGGTTTGGTGATGAGAAGATTTTACGCCAAATTTATATCAGAGAATTGTTGGGCCTGGCTATCAATAGCGCCGCGGATTCAAGAGTAGATGCCGACGTGGAAGAATTGCATGACCAGTTGGAAGGTCATTTGAAGAGTCTCGAGTCTTTGGGGTCAGTTAGTGATCCAAGTGAACTCATTTATCCATTAGTGGAATCCAGTCTGCCACAGCAAGTGTTACTCCGTTGGCAGAATAGTAACTTAAGGGTACGCGAGAAGAAATCGGATTCAACTTCTGCTACCAATTTAGAAAATTTGATGGAGTTTTTGAGGCTGGAGGCACAGAATGCCAAAGAAAGAAAATTTGTGCTGTCAACCTTCAGGCAAAGTCCAGTCAAGAATAGAGAGAAAGTAAACGTGTATGCAGAGAGTGAATGTGAAGATTTCCCCACTGCTGCCGGTCTCTATTCAAGTCATTAAGCTGAGCAGCGATGTGTCTTTTGTGGAAAGTCGAATCACAAAAGTCAGAAGTGCTATAAGGCTCAGACATTACCTCTCGAGGAGAAGAAGATCCTGGTGAAAGAGAATCGGGGATGCTTCATCTGCCTAGGAAGAGGACATTATGCAAATGACTGTACCAAGGAGGTCAGTTGCCAAATATGTGGACGGAAACACTACTCTGTGATGTGTCCTGGTCAGGTCCGAGATGAGGAAGTGACGTCAATTAATGAAGATGAATCAAGTAGTTCGGTGGAAGAAACCACCACAAACTTCAGTCAGGGATGCAAAAGTAAAGTTGTCCTGATGAAGACGCTTCGTGTCAAGGTGAGCGGAGCAAATGGAGCCAAGAAAGAAGTCCGGCTACTTTTCGACGAGGGAAGTCAGAGGTCATACATCAGGACGAAAACTGCCCAGGAATTGAAATGTCAAGTAGTGGACAAGTTGACTCTTCAGAATAGTTTGTTCGGTGGACATGTGACCAGCACCGAAGAAAAGAATTGTTATCGGGTCAACGCCAGCGGGATCGATGGGAAGGATTGCGCGAGGATGAATCTCCAGTTAGTCAACGAGGACTTTATTTGTGGAGCATGCCCAGCAATCCCACCTGGCCCTTGGTGTAAAGAGTTGGCTCGGAAGAAGATCCACACGACAGACACTTCAGCGTCGGAAGTCGACATATTGATAGGAAGTGATCTGTGGGGAAGTTTGATGACCGGAAGAATGGTCAAACTTGGATGTGGATTAATCGCCGTGGAATCCGTGTTTGGATGGACTATCAGCGGAGTGGTTCCAGGTGTCAACAATAGCAAGTTGAATTGCGCTGGTGTCGTAATTAGTTCAAGCAAGAGCTCTGTAGAGAAGAAAACTCAAGAAGAGCATGAACGAGTCAAGATCTCACAAGATAAACGTGTAAAGGTCGACGAGTTGAGACGGTGGGAGCAAAGTGTTGTGGGGGTTCCCAGAATCGGCCAGCCTGCCATGAGGGGGTGCGGATTGGGAAACGGCAACAGCTTTGCTCCAAAGAAGTCAAGATTACTCTCGACAACAAAGGTACTTGGTCTAATTAGTGACAAGTACACGAATAAGCCGTCGTGTGGGAGGATGGAAGCTTGTAACCCCATCGGATTCAATCGTCCAGCCTCCATTAAGCCGAAGATGAAGGTGCAGAAAGTGGTGGAGAAGAATGCCGAATGGTGGGAGCGACCGACTCCAAGAAGATGTCAAGAGAAGAAGAAAGTCCAGAAGGAGCCGGAAGTTGGTGGTAAGGATCAAGATAGGATCTCGAAGAAACCAGTGTGGTATCCGAAGTGGAATTTGCAATTTATTTGTATAATTTATTTGAATTTGATAATTGCATAGTTGTTTTTAGAATAGTTCTTTTGCTCTCACAAAAGAAGGTGGGAGTATGTTAAATGTAAAATGATGTAGTTATGAAATTGTTTTATGTATTTTGGTAAATTGTTGAATATGCGTCTAAGATCGCCCCGTGACGTGGTGGTGGTTGCCATGGTGACGTCAGGGTGGGATTTTGAGTGCGCGTCGTCCTTTGTTATAAGTCGTAGTAAGTAAGTAGGTAGAAGAAATCTACACAGTCGAGTTTTAGTCGTTGTCAGAGTCAGACATTTTGGATTTTAGTCGTCGTGGTAGGAAATCAAGAGTAAGAATTGTTAATTCTTTGTAATTGATGTCCACGATTAATTTGTTAATAGTAAGTCACCAATCAACTCGTGTTAGTGCAGAGCTCTGAATTGTGTTGACAATTTGATAATTTGTTGAAAATAAAATCCAGTTTAAGTAGATAAAATAATCGTATATTCACTCAGTCACTTTCTTTAATTCCAACGAGCAAGGCACAATTAAATATTCGTAAAGACACTATACTCCGGGTAGGTGATAGCTTGGTTTTTACAGTTCTCCTCCATGTATGTTTGGTGCATGGTGTCCGTAATAATCGGGGGGTTTGCTGGCCCCACAAAAGTTTTCGGCGCTCCATCCCGTAGTAACACCTCCACGGTCACTTCGCCCAGGGACGACTGGGCTGAAGGGCTGCAGCTTGCAAACGCTACCACCAAAGCGTACAAAGCTCTTCAAGGCCAAACCGGTACGTACAATTCAACATTCTATTCAATTTGAACACGTTATAAATATAATACTGCTTTCAGTAATGTAATGTTGTCATCCTATTTAAATATATTCCATAGTTTACCTAGAAGCAATTACATTCAGAACTTAAATCTATCCTGTAATTTGTTATTGATTTCATGCATTTATTTAGATAATCTGGTGAAGGAAGACGCCAACCAACTTTTGGAGTCATCCCTCCTCCTCTTTAATGGAAATACAACAAGTCTGCGAGATAACGGGACACGATTTCAAACGGCCATTGACAAATTGGAGGACACCACCATTCGTTTGGGAACAAAACAGGGAGACATCGGCACATGAATTACGACAGACCTGCGACCAGCCATTGGAACAATACGATCCGACATTAATAAATATTCACAAAATGTAAATACATATCGTTCTGACCTTATTGGAATGGAACACCGCCTAATAAAGAGGTTTGAGAAACTGGAGATAAGACTGGGTACGAAGGTGGACAGCGTAAATGAGAAGCTGGGCACCGTGGATAAGAAGCTGGACAGCGTAATTTCGAAGGCAATACCTTTTAATATATTTTAATTATAAATTTTGGTTTTAGAAAATTATATTTAAAGCTGATAAATAATTCATCGCGAAAAATGAGAAAGCGAGACGACTTTTCTCAGGGTTTACAGTGACTGACCTTACTTTCCCAACTAAACAATTCAGATTTTTAGTTTGTTAACGGCTTGGGGTGGGGACTGACCGGGAAATTTCTTAAAATTACACGAATCATCTAAATGCATTATAATTTACGTTAATTTATTAAATTGTCTTATTATGTATACAGCTGGACAAACTGATTGCCATACTACAGCCAATTCTGCCCACTATAACGCCAAAGCCCCCAATGCAATTAGGATCCATTGCGCTTCGTACTTTACGAAACAATAACGACCACAATTTAATAATCCAGTGATTAAAAGTAATTAATTTTTTATAAAATTGTATGTAAAACTCGACTCTAAAGTCTGTCGAACTTGCTACTTACATGGACATGAAAGCTACTTCGTTCAATCATTACTTGCATTGTTGTTAAGTACCATACTATCAGTGCCGTGTAATGATTATGTATCTGATTAATTGATTAAATTCGAATCTTGTGATAATTTTTTTAATTAAAAATAAATTTACTAATCGAATTTAAAATATTTTTGCATCTTACAAATATTACAGAGATTCGGCACATTTGAATCAAATTTATGCAACAATTTGCCATTTGTAAGTTAAACTCACTATGATAATGGAGAAATTAATGCACATATTTGAAATCACTCTGAAAGTATATGCCAATTATAAATCATATGGATGAGGAGTACATGTAAGGTTATTTTAAGGTTATTTTAACTTCTTTTATGAAATTCTGAACTTTTTAAAACGAGAGCAAGCAGTTTACGTTTACGGATTTTACTGCGTTAAAACCACAGAATTAGAGTACAAGTATTAGCATTGAATACTTTTTGTATCAATTTTTTAAAACAAAATGTAAACCAAATAGGTATTTAGGAAGACAAGTTGTATGGAAAATATTGATGACACTTAATAAGTTGCGTACCCAGTCAGTGGTTTAATATGAAATCGATACTTGTGAAATTCTTGGAAGGAAATTACAGGAAGGAAGCACTTATCTCATCCTGGATGCATTTGCATGGACGAAGTGGATCGATTTGTCTACGTCTTAATACATAACAGACCTGGGCAAAATACTTCCCGATTTTTTAACAAGAAAAAAATTAAGATGCATTAACTTTTACACTTTACATGACTAACCAAAAGTTTAGTTTTAAATTCAGCTATTGTTATAAATTAATTATAATTATTACAATTATTGAAATTAAATTAAAGTATATCATTTTATAAAATTGCATGTAAAACTCGACTTGTATTGTAAAGGACGCTTAAGGCGGAATAGCATGCTGGCTGATGCGGGGTTTTTTGTTTGAATTGTTGTGTCTCAACTTTCCCTTCCTTCATCCATTCAAATGGCGATTTTGAAAAATGTTCACCGCCTTTCGTTTTTAACAATATGAAGATATTAATGCACCTAAAAATCGGTAATTTTTAGGCTTACATAGTTAGGAGATAAAAATTTTGATTTTTTTCTTCAACAAGAAGATAAATATAAAATAGATGAAAAATAATCAATAAAATTTAAATATTTCCTCATTGAAGAAAAAAATCAAAATTTTTATCTCCTAACTATGTAAGCCTAAAAATTACCGATTTTTAGGTGCATTAATATCTTCATATTGTTAAAAACGAAAGGCGGTGAACATTTTTCAAAATCGCCATTTGAATGCATGGAGGAAGGGAAAGTTGAGACACAACAATTCAAACAAAAAACACGTGATACAATGCCACGTTAAAGAAAGTCATATCGAGTTACATGGACATTAAGTCCATGTAAAAAATATTTCCATTTTTTTCATGCATGATAAATATGCACTTATGCACCATGTAATGAATATCTGATTAATCACTACAGATTTAATTCGAATCGTGTTTAAATTATTTAACTGGAAACTACTAACTTCATTTAAAATGTTTTTTTATCTTACAAATATTACAGAAATTCGGCACACACATTTGAACAAAATTTATACAGCAATTTGCGACTTGCAACTCTTGCAAGTGTAAAACTAGAAACATTGCATTCATTGTCTAAATTGAATGATTTCAAAGCCAGAGTAAATATATTTTTTAGTTTCTGAAGCATAATTGTTTAAAGATATATCGTCTTTCAATGTTGGAATTGTCAATTTTGATTGAAGTTGAAAATTTTATATTTTTTCAAACTCTGTAAACACTAAATAGGATATGAGGGTTTTGTACAATGTAAATTCTGAGCTGCGTTGTAGAATTCATTTTCCAGACGGAAGGGAATGGAAAGAGGGAGAGAATCCAGAAAGCAAAATCACCTGTTTTTCATTTTTCTACTCTGCTAAGACTGTATTAATTTATAATTTGATAAATTAAATAAATAACTGATGTGGAGCATGCTAAGTTAGCAATAATTAATTAATGTGAAACCGAAACTGGAATTTATATGTGCCAGGAGTGACTGATAGCTAAAAAAGAACCGGTTTTGTATTAAAACGACCTTGACTTTGGTCGGGTAGTTAGTTAGTTATCTTATAGTTAATTAATTGTGGATATTCTTTGGAGTGGAATTTTGCTAGTGTTGGCTGCAAAAATTAGTGGTGAGGTGGATATTTCTGTGGAATTAAATCAGTTGGAGAAAGATACAGTTGGATTTAGATTACGGTATACTGTGATTAATTAAGGTAAGAAATTGTGAATTTGTTTTTTAACCGGCGATTTATAAGGTTTGTAAAATAAGTTAAGTTCTGCTGGTGAAAGAAATTCATTCGATGGGGAAAATATTTTAACCCATATTGGGATTTATAATAGTGAGAGTGAAAGTTAAAATTAGGTTTAGATTAGAAATTAATTACCGATGGCGTTTATGTTTATCATCGAGAAATCAATTTAGTTCTCAAACTTAAAAGTGAGGTGAAATGAAGCTGAAATTTGTTAGTAATTTACAATAATAAAAATGTGGCATCGGCATCACTCATTGGTGCTCATATTTCTTATTTTACTAAATGTTTGCATGGATTAAATATTGCAATTCTGCGACTGCAATTTTATGATAGAACGATTTGATTAAATTGACAACAATTTTGTCTAGAGACAAAATTTGTCCAGAGCTGGAAAATTAATGCAAAAAATTTACTCATAACATAGTTAATTTTAGTTATGTGGTTGTGATCGGTTGGATATTTTGGCATATCAGCATCAGCACTCACGTACGTGATTTCTCATGTAGACTTGGCTTTGGTTAAACATAATCTTATAAGTAAATTAGATAATTATATAACAGCAGACTTAAGATGCAGATTATTATTCCTTGTTTTTAACCAGTTGGACATTTAATGTCGTTTATCTCATCTGCTGCTGCTGGTGCATCTCCCATTTTGGCCAGCCTCCTCCGCCCCAGCACCATCGTAGTCAGGTCAAAGTCAAAAGTCATTCAGTCCTCGTCTCCCCTCCTGTATCGAAACATGGCCACTCAAAAACCTAAAGTTTTCGTCACCCGGCCAGACGTACCAAAACCGGCGATGGATCTTTTGAGAGAAAGGTGTTGCAAATATATACTTTTTCTTGAAAATTTCGTTTTTTCACAAGATTTGACTTGAAACCACTTAATTAGATGTGACGTGACGACATGGGGGGAAGAAAGGCCAGTTCCACGAGACTACTTTTTGAAAAATGTGTCCGGCGTGGATGGAATTTTCTGCTTGGTCACAGACCGAATTGATGCCGAAGTTTTGGATGCGGCAGGTCTGACACAGGGCAAATCACAAAATGAGATGAATGGTCAATATCTTGTCATTTAGGCCCCCAACTGAAAGTGGTGGGGACAATGTCCGTCGGAGTTGATCATGTCGACATAGGGGCCGTCAAGAGTCGAAATATCCGCCTCGGATATACCCCAAACGTACTGACGGACGCGTAAGAACGTCACATTTTAACGGTAGTCAAATATGTGCATATTGTGTTTGATTAGGGTAGTTAATTGATTAGGACGGCGGAGACCACGGTGATTGTTCTATTGTCCGCGAGTCGGCGCGTTTTTGAGGCGAGGGACGAGTTAATGTCGGGGCGCTGGGGGAGAGCGCGTGGGGACCGATGTACCTCTGCGGTCATGGCTTGAGTGGTGCGACTGTGGGGGTTTTTGGTCTGGGAAGGATTGGCAAAGCGGTGGTGGATAGGCTACGACCTTTTCAAATTGCAAGGGTCATCTATTCCGGGAGGAAGAAGCAAGAGGAGGGTAAATGTTTAATATAATGTATCCGATCCGAAGGAAATTTTGGGAAAGTTTAAGGTTTCGAAATTTAAGGGTGTTTTAGGAGAAGGGAACTGCTCAGTTTTTCGTAGGGTGTTTTTTGTTGAGCTTTGAATAATTTGATAACATTTGGTGAATTTTGGAAAAAATGAATTGAGGAAGTGAAATCTGCCTTAGTCAAAAATATTTTAATCTTGAAAAATGTTCTGCTAGAAATTTTTGAGAAAAATCTAATCGTTTCGTTTTATTTTATGTCCCAAAGAACATTTTTATTTTTCATTCAGAGATGATTTTTAGTTATTGGTGAAGAAATTTACTTGAATTTAGTACGAGTTGTGGTAGAATTTTAAGAAAATGGATCTATTTACTTTCCGAGATTTCTTGTGGACGAGATAAATTTCCAAATTTTTCATCTCATAATGTGCAGAGTTTAAAAAAAATCTGTATGATTCCTGAGTGCAGTAACAGACGCGGAATTCGTTGACTTTGACACCCTGTGTAAAGAATCAGACTTTATCATCTGCACGGCAGCTTTGACGCCGGACACGAAGGAAATCTTTAACGCGAGAGCGTTCTCCTTGATGAAACCGAATGCAGTTTTTGTTAATTCGAGTCGAGGAGGTAGAAATTTGAAATAATATTTTGGACACAATTTTCGCGAAACATTTAGCATAATTCTTTCGCTGCATAGGCACCGTGGAGCAAGACGCGTTGATCAAAGCCCTTAAAACGGGGCAAATTTTTGCCGCTGGGTTGGACGTAATGACCCCAGAACCGCTCCCAGTCGGTCATGAACTTACAAAATTGAAAAATTGTGGTAAATAAATTTGAGGAAATTTTTAAAATAGGGGGAAAGATTTATAGTATGTGCGGAGTGATTTTGACTACTTTCTTGTAATTTTAGCGGTATTGCCTCACATTGGAAGCGCCACGATTCAGGCGAGAATGGCCATGGCGATGTTGACCACGAGAAATATACTGGCAGCTTTGGACGGAAAGCCAATGCCGGAGAGTCTGAATTAGTTGTCGATAGTTAGTCAAATTATATAAAAGTAAATACGTGGTAATAAATGAGTTGTCACCCAGTGTATACACTCCAACACTCTACCCAACGGTAACAAAAATTTTCAATAAATTCAAAGTTATCCTTGCGGTGAGCAATTGATTTCAGGATGGTAGAAAATTTGAATTGTTTGGACGGTTATTGCTACCATTTACCGTTTCGTTACCAACTTGGTAAAGTTGCAGAGTACGTATGTTTACTGGGTGACAATTTTGTTACAAAGTTATTTACAGTGGGTTAAATTCGTTTAAATACTAAAAGAACAAACATTTTAATAAGTGTAGTAATTAGCAAATAATAAGTATATTGGAGTGAAATACAAATAAGCATTATGTAATTAAAAATCATTTGTAGAGTTAATGGCACCCATTAATTTCCGAAGTAAAACTGATTTATCAAATTCTCTGAAGATTTGTTTCGATTCATATGCATCTTTGTAAGGCTGCTAAGTTTTTCGCTGTTGCGAATTTCATAATTTTTTAAAGTGAAAAAGATGGTTAATTTTTGTTGGAAACTATACAATTCTTAAAGTTGTAAGTTGTAATGTTTTACAAAGTAAAATTTCCTGACGCAAACGCCGGAAAGTAAAATTTTGTATTAATGATTTATAAATGTGTAGTAATTAGATACGCGTTGGTGGCCGTTGATTCAACGAATATCGTTAATATATTTCGAGTGAAATATCCATATCTTGAAATTTATTATATAATTTGTAAAATTTGTTTTTTGAAGGTATTTGATCTGTATTATCAATCTGAAGTATTTTGATTAATAAAATCGAAAGTTAAAAAACGTGGAGACAACTTGAATTTGAATTAGGCCAAAAGTTTGAATAATTTAACTTGTATCGAGGAGGGAGATTAATCTGGTCGTGGTAAACTGTCACCTTGTCAAATTTAGTATTCCAAAATTCCATTGTTTTCCACCTTAATGTATTATAAATTATACACATTATTCAATTCAAACCCATCCCACCGTGATGTTCTGTTCAGAGGGGGCGTGCTAGCAAGATGCCATCTTGACACTATCTTTGATGCCATTTTCACACCTGCCCGCATCCTGTCTGCACGGCCCCCACCCTGATCTGATAACTCGACAGGGTGGAAATAAATTTGGCCAAGAAGACCAAGAAAACGAAACAAGAACCACACAGGTTGCTTAAACAAGTCGAATTTTATATCGGAATGATATTGAATTATTAAAACCATTCTGCATGTCATCATGAATCTTGTTACATGTTCATTCAACTCGGAATTCAGAGATGAAGATGTAATTTCGCGTCGTGTATAATTTTGCAGCGTGGAAAATCCTATGCGCATTTTAGACCACACGAAATTTGAAGACGCGAGAGGAGAAAAATATGTGAATTTTGTGTAGCTTCCATTCCATCCAAATTATGGGTTTGGTCTGATTCAACTCGTAATCATGCCCGATGCAAGTGGCGTCATGAAATGTAATTATGCGTTTGCCTGTAACTTTCAAATGATGGGTGTGTAAGGAAAAGATGGGATAAGCAGTAATCGATAATCAGTCGGTAAAACGTATTTATTGGTGAGCACTGCGAGCAGCAGATCATGAGTTTTTTTTAAATGAGACTAATTCCTTATTTCATGGCTGAGTTATTGGCTGACTGGGCACATTTGTGGTGTAGTTTTAATTGCGAATTTTTCACCAGGATGTGATTGATATTTTGAGAATTTTGGCCCTTATTAAGATGTTTTGGGTGTCTTTTATGAGTGGCATTCTTTATGCTCAACTATCGACGTGTTCATAAATATGAATTTTTTGTTCCTTGTTGGTGGCCCTTTAGTTGTTTTTAAGTCGTGTGCAAACTGTTGCGGAATTTGTCATAGTTGCGAATTTGCGAGGCTATGTAGGTTGTTTTGTGAAGTCTGAAATTCTTTATGGTGCTAGTAATAATTAAGTGGATTGGATTATTCGTCTAGCGTGTTTTTCTTGTATTAAAATGTTGCAGAAATTGAAGCGTGGTCGTGTCGTTTCAGCAAATTTTCGCTGTCCGGGTTGGTTTAGTTAGAAGTAGTGCGAGAGCGTCGCAAATTTATGCCCAGAATTTGATATGGTTTTCAGTTTAGTATTACCTACCACAATTGTGGTGGTAAAAGAGGTAGCGCAGATTCTGAACTATATACATACCTCTGCCCTGCGGAAAGGATGTGAATAATTTCGAGGCACATTTTGAGCGTAAATTATGATTAACTCTGACCATGGTATTTATGCATGGCCCTATTTCGACTTGTTTTTTCTCGTCGGGAAGTCGAAAGGTTAAAGAATAGGTCGAATTTCACGGAGTTAACTATTCCTCTGTTTTTAGTTTACTTTTGTGATTGCGAAGTTTTATGATATGGAGATTGTTATGAGTAAAGTATTTATTATCCACTAAAAAATGCGAGTTTTTGTTATGGAAAATACCATACTTGACACGTCTCCGTCCTAATGAAACTACTGAAATATGTTGCAAAAATGTGAAGTCACTTATGAACTATTAAACGACAGGCATAAATTTGTTAGCGATGAGAATTTTTAAGAAATTTACGCAGATATTTGTAATGCAGTAAATTTCGTAAACTTGTAAAGCGTTCCATAAGTAAGTCTGTACAGACTACGAAGGAAAATCAGGTTACAAATCGGTTTTACATGAATTTTCACAGATCCAAGGCCTTTTTGTATTTTGTAAAGTACAAAGTATTGCAATAAGTAAATCACTAAAATGCTATCAAATTTGTGTGGAAAATTATTCCTAGCTGGTCAAGTAGTTATCGACAATAAATTATCTTTATTAGACCGAACCGAATGCCACATCTACAAAAAATATGTGACTAATGTAACTAACATAAACAATACTTTGCGACGTCGAAATTTTACACAATTTTCTGTAACTTTTCTTTACCCAAAAATTTGGAACTGCTTCAAATGCAATTGTAAGAAAAAACGAAAGTCTGGACAGAGGATGAAACCGGAAATCGCACCCACGCTTTGCATTAAAAAATATCAGGATATGAAAAGGGCGTCAAAATCTGACTCCTCGCGTGGTTTCTTTGCAAGTAAGTAATACCGCCCTAGCAAAATTCCACCCTCCCAATTACTCCAATCAAGTATCAATCAATATCCGCGAAATATACTTAATTTTATCGTTATGTCGTCGGCCAGGGGTCGTTTGACATTGGATACCAACTACTCCATCAACTCCTCATTTCCGACAAACATTTGCTTGCGGACACATTAAAAGACAAGATCAACACGTCCTTGTCGATAAAACAAGACATCAAATCATATCCCAATTTAATTATAAACACCATTCCATAAAAGCAATCTCTTCCCACGTTGACTGACTAAAATGTTTAGTTATCGTTTCTCTCATTTAACAAATGTACATTTTATTCACATAAAAATGACAAATATCTATTGTATATTGAAGGATACTTGTTCTTCATATGCACGTAATTTGGGACCGTGCATAAAGCGTATACATAAGTACAATGCTTAATTTGGTTTTTGTGTAGATTCAGGTATGCTGATGAGTGGAGTTGATCCTTTAATGGGATAAAGTGCATTCATGTAATTATATGTAATTGAAAAAATGGGCGTTGAAAACAGGGACTGTGCAGGAAAAATGTTGAAGAGATTTCTAAAGCCTGGACCCCAACTGGGCTGGACAGGGATAAATAATGCAATTTAAATTCTGGTCACAATTCTACATCTGCAAATTCAATTCGAGCTTCGTTAGTTTTTGATATGAAGTGAAGGATCGGGGCTGAAGCATAATAAATACGAATAATTGACACATGAAATTTTATGTGATTTCATCAGCAATTTTGTAAATGAATGGTTAACAAAAATCTAGTTTTTTTTCATGATTACGTTTCTTTATACAAATTTATTTTTCGCAAGCACTAAAAATTTCGACAAAATGATATAACTCTTTCTCTAATTATATAATTTTTGCACTAATATTGTTTGCAAACGGAAAATAACATGGCATGTTTTTAATCTGAAAATATTGAGTTTTTCAATTTTTTTTAAAACTTTACATAAAAATAAATATAGTTGCATGAGAAGATTAGAGAGCAGAAATTGGTGAAGAATAATTTATCAGCAAGTTAATTATTGCTCAAGAACTTAATTACAGTACAAACTTAACTTATTAATGAATAATGATTTGATTGACTTTAAATCTTAATTGCTAATTAACGTTTAGTGAATGAACTAAAACTAAATATATTTAGCAGTCGAGTGGCATCTTTTTTCGTTAATAAGTAACGAATATTAAGCAATTCACTCGGATGATTGTAAACTCCACAAACTTATTGCACACACGTTTCTACAGGTTTACAAAAATTGCAAATTGCAAACTTACACAGATCACGGGCGTCTCTACGAATATTTTGCGAATGTGTGCCAAATTATTTTACAGTTTGCTGGATTACAAACGTCCGAGTGAATTGCGTAAATAACTAATTATATAAATGTAATTAATATATCTACTCTAAAATATTTATAGGAATCAATAATTACTGAAATAATTTGCGAATCTCGTGTAATCTGAGCTCTTACGTCGTCGTTGACGATGAGTTGTGGCGTTTGGCGTTGACCGGAAGTCACATCTCTCGCGGTTAATTATATATTAAATTAACTTTGACTAGTTAATTTCTTCAGGTATTTTGCACCCCTGTTTTGCGGTAAAAAACTGTTTTTTTTGCACTTATCACCAAAACGTTTGCACTTATCGTCATTGCCACCAGCGGAGGAGGAAGATAAGACCGAGGAGATTGGATAAGACGATGACGTTCCTCTCCTGGCCGGAGGAGAAGAGGGAGGCGGATTTGTTGACAGAGTCGCAACTCAATCCGTCCCGTGAGACGAGATAACCCCAGCGACAGACGCATCTGAAAACGCAAGTAGAATTTTTTAAAGAAAATTGTGAAGAAATTTTATCAGGGAAAGTTGGTGGGTCTCGTAAATTGAGAAATTTTTTGACTCAAAATGACCAGGGTTTGGTCAGGATAAAATAATTGCGCAAAACTTGTGGCCGTACATTTTTCGCAAGAGGAAATAAATAGTGGGCCTCCTCAGACACACGAAAAAATCGTCGTTTCTAATTTCGCTAAGTTTTTCGCTTGCTTCCTGATAAGCGAGCTCTGGGATAAGCGAACAGAAACTCAACTCAGAAGTGGGGTTAAGGTCGGTTAGCTGAAGTCGAAACAAAATTTTACAATTTTCATAATTCTTGCCATGTTATCGATAAGCGAAAAACAAAGCAAACTTCGAAGCGACGATTTTTTCGTGTGTCTGAGGAGGCCCAGTATATAAAAATGGCTTACTTTGACTCCTCCTTGGTGGTCGGTTTGGCCAGCGCCTCGGAGGACGTGACCAGGCGTTTTACACACTCTGCTGCCTGATGACACTTCACTATCCTGGGAAGCTTGTCATAAATACTAGAAGAATAAGTAATTTTATTACTAGTGAATATTATTGCACATATAATTATGCATTTATTGTTGTTTATTTACTCGGGGTGTGCCGTCGTGTTGACGTATTTGCATAGTTCACCAGGCTAAAATCGGTAAAAATAAGTTAGTTAATTATACAGATCAGTTTTTAAATGCGAGAGATAATACATAAATCATTTCTGAAATTTAAAATTTCGATAAAATTACGAGGATCAAAAAAATTAAACCTATACCACGCTTGGAACTATTCTATACTAAAAATCTTTCATTATGTATAGATTTTGCAACTCTCATTGACATTGCACGTGCATATTTGCAGTAACCAACTAAATTCCACGGATCTTGCCAACCAACATTCGGCGTGAAAGTCTATTATACACTTTAGATCATTTTGAGCGTCTCTGGGTTTTATCAAACTTGTACACTTGCACATTGAAACATCGAGTTGATCAACTGCCCCAAAATAACTAGATTAATTAGGTTTATATTAATTATTAGTTTACAATAGATTTCCCTCGTGGATTGATAAATGAATTTATAGAAACAACTCGGTATTTAAAACCTTACCTTTCGTCTGCATTCGCCACTCCGCTTGTCATACGAGAGAAAGGGGGACTCGATCGGACAGCCGCAATAGTTGCCCTGCGAGTACTTCTGGCAGATGATGCCCTTCGTCCCGTCACACCCGTCGTGCGGGAGGAGGAGCTCCCCTCCCGCGGGAATCTTGCACCTCGCCCCCCACGGAATAAAGGTCACCTCGTAGTCCGAAGCGTCGTAGTCCGCAATCATCGCGATCGACCTGGTGGCGGCTGAGAGGATGACGACGAGGAGGAGGAGATTGTAACCACTTATCGAACAGTGGCGGCGGTGGAAGGAGATAAGCGTCATGGTTTTTAATGGGGATGTGGATAAGGGGTTATCTTGATGATGAGTAAGAAGAGGAGGACATCCTGTAAACAATTAGAGTGAGATCATATTATTAGTCAGCAGAGTAATGAGTTATGTAATTCTTGTTTGAAGGGTTTGTAATTATGTAAACTGTGTAACTTTTGTAAAATTATTTGCGAGATTAATATTATACATTGTACGTAAAATTTGTAAGCTTGGTAAATTCAGAAAGTTTTCATAAAGGAAATGAACTAGAAGCTTTACCATGTTTAAACTTTTGTGTGTAACGATGATAGTTAATCGAAATTTTTTAATCGTCGTATTACACTACCAAAATAAAAAAATATAAAATTTACAAAGTTGGCGTGGATGGTATACAGATACATAAGGGTTAAATGGTTTTTGTATAGAATTTGACATTTTGTGGTCAGTTTAAGACTGTGAAGTAAGATAAATTTGTGACGAACAATTCTTACAAATTAGGAACATATTTTATTAAAATACTGTGATTTTCCGGCCTAAATTGTGTAGGTTTATGAAGAAATTCTGCAATTTATACGAGTAGATGGAACTTAATCGTAGTGGAATTCTGAGAAATTTGAATTTGTTTAATGTTTTCTTAACGATGAGGAAAATATTTATGTATGCGCAAGCAAATAAATTCGTATGTAATTGTGTGGCAACAAACGAATAAAACTGACACTTTACAGGTTTATCTTTGGTTTTGGGGAAGTGCATAAAGCACGTCATTTTGAGGGGGTAGGACTCAAGACATTCTATTCTTCTCTGACAAAAAAACACCATCGATTACTTTATGCACGCTCCGTTAAGAGGTTTATAAATAATTGTTGATTGACATGTTTATACTCTTGTTAAATTTAATGGAGCATTGTTACAGAGAAATATTCCATTTGAGTAATTGAGAACTTCTCTTTGTTATTTGTAAACTTTATAAATTTCAACAAACCTTTATTTACAAATATTGCGAGTGAAAATCAAGTTGCAAAATCGTATAAACGGTATTTTTTGTAATAAAAACTTGAAAACAATTATGCTAATTTGAGACAATCCAAAATTGTCAGATTCCTGCAAACTTGAAAACACGCACAGAATTTTGTAACGTGGTAAACCTATACACCGGCTTATGAAGATTACGAGGAAAACTCTAGTTACAAAATGAAAATTTATGAATTTGCACAGACAGAACGTGCTTCTTTGTAAAAAGTAGAAAAGTATTGTTTAAAAAAAGTTACAAGTTACAAACATCCGCGTGAAATGCGAGTGTGTTTATTGTGTCGCATTAAAGTCATGTTTTATTGAATTTTGTTTCGAGAATGACAAATTGTTCTCATTATTGTTGCATGTAAACCAGTAATTTGACATTTTTGTTGGAAAGGGAAGCAACTTAATTGTCTCGAGGCATGTGATACACCGCACTTTACGATGCATGTAACGTAATCTAAGAAGAAGACCAGACATGTCGGAGGTGTAATTATGATTAAATATTATGTTGCACTAATTTTGCAATTATGCAACACTTAGTCCTGTCATTTGGTGAGAACGCTTCGTGTTTTGTGGTCGAATTAAATTTTTGGTGAAAAAAACAAAAAACATGAGTTTTTTAGACACGTGCGAGTCAGGTTCGTGTTTTTGTAAGGAAGATGAAATGAATTTTGAGACGGTATTGTTCACTCTAACTTTTGCAATTCAGTAAAACCGGACAATTTTTATAAATTTTTTTAACAAAACTCATAGAGAAACGTTTGTAACAAGGCAAGGTTACGAGGTTTTTAGTACAAATGTTAGATTTTGTAAATCTTTAATGCCGTTATGAGATTTATATTTAGAAGAAAACCGGAATTTTTGACAAGTTTCTTCTCATTCCCAAAAATCACAAAAATTTCAGAAAACCAAAAATTCTTACGACTCGTCGTTTTCGATGAAAATATAAGTTTTTCCAAGTTCCACTCGTATTACTTTATCTCTGGAGTAAATTGTACCCAGTAAAAACAAAGCGAGTCTCACTTTCCTCTTGAAATCAAATCTCTTGACTTTTGGAATGTTGAGATTTCCTTGCAAAGAAAACTGCTTGTCTTTTAATCTTTTTAAATTTTTATGGCGTGTATTATTTTAACTCGTATCTTGTCTCGAATAGTTCACGACACTTCTTCTAAACTAAACGTCACTGCACTCTCTTTCTGGTTTATCTACACTGTCTGTCACCTCTCTCTCGAGAGAGTTCATCCCTTTCTAATCGTCTCCATCCTGGACGAAAGGAAAATATTATTACCAAGAAAACATATTGCCTGGAAGATTAGGAGACGGAGATGAATCCAGCCCACCAACTAAATTCATAGCACACAATCTGGACGAGAGAAAAACTAATAACGCGCTGCTAATCTGCCTCAACAAGTCAATAACATAAATATTATTTGGTCACGTACTGTCAATTCTGCACCACCGACAGATATACGTTTATATTGACTTGTTATCACGCACAGTTAAATAAATGACACCAGCCTTGTAATGCAAGTATTTTCAAACCTTTTCCTAAATTAGTTACACACATACGCGTTTTTTTTTAGATTAGATTTGTACCCTGATTTTGATCCGTAGAAAAAGGTTGACAAGAGTTACTATTTAAGATCCGAGTGAAAATATTGACTGGGATGAATGAGGAAAGTGTGTTTAGGTTGGTTGAAAAAGGTTGATGTTTCTTTAATACGCGTATCTCCTGCCTGTTGAGATGTGACCACTTGATGAGGATGAGATTGCGAGAACGATGACAGAAGCAGAATTTGTGTAAAATAATTTTCTAAAGTCGTGGAGGCATCGAATAGATATAGTTTTGAATAGTTTGGTTTCACAGATTATGTATTTCGTTCGATGATGGGAACAACGTGTTGGGGACAAAGGTGGGATGAATTCAGACACGAGCACATAGATTGGACAAGTTTGACTATGAAACCACGACTGAGCAGAGGTTTAGTTGGTCTGGCGAGGTAAATACATAAGAAGAAGTGGAAAAAAGGGTTGGTTTGTACGCAGCAAGTATAATTTTATCTCATATGTATGATCCTGATAATCTTTTCCATGCTGGCAAAAGTAATGAAATGAATGTATACATATGGAGTCATGATAGTTAGTTGGTTGAAGGAGGGTGCGCCAAGGATGTGGTCGGTTTGATTTGAAGGGTCAAGCATTCAGGCACAAATTTAAGTCGGGGTTAGCACGACAAGGGTCAAAATTGTCGGAAAATGAGTCCCACCCTTTACGTACGGTCCTTACTACAAATAAGTAACTGGGATTGGTAAGTAAGTAGATTCTTGTGTTGTAGTAGGATTGAAATGAAAGGATGGCATTTTGCCGATGGCACTTTAACGAGGGATAAGTATTATGTGAGAGGAGTAGCAGTTATGAGTTGTTAAATAGTAAATTTAGTGGGAGCTGAGGAGTTGCTATTATGATTATTTGAAGAGTTTTGAATGTGACTAATTTTTAAGGAGGGAATTGCACGGATAGTTTGCTAACTGTGCGATTCTTTTTTTGCAAAATTGGCAAGTTTGAAGGCAAAATAATCTCGGGGGAAATAAAGGTTAGAAATAGTACGGGGTTTACTTAATGGACATTTGTATTTTCTTGTAACGCATGTGAGTGTGTAAATTTAAGCAAGTTTAGGAAACAACAACTTGGGAAACTTATTTGGGTTGGTAAAAATTTTACAAACATTAAAATTGGCGTGTTTAAATTTTGGAAAAAATTGTCAAGTAATTTTAACCCAAGGCTGGCGTGAACAGTGTCAATTATTTAAAAAATGTGTAATAAAAGTACGATGGAGAGATGAGACGAGAGGATTTTTATTATGTATCGTGTCGACTTTGTAGTCGTGGGTTGTTTCATTGTTACAGTAGGACGCCATTCGTAATCGTATGTATGAAAGAGTGGATGATTTTTTTGCATGGAATTTAATACCGAAAAATGTGTAGGATTTGAATTTAAAAGGATGATGATGACATGACAAGGATGGAAAACGTGTGGATGAGACAACTCTTTATTTGTTCTTCTCCTTTTATTAGATTTTTTCATTTTATTTAATTTGAGACTTTTTTGTTGGAAAAAGGAATTCATCAAATATATCAGAGTGAGGTTTTTGTTAAGAGAATTTTTTGCATTTTGAAATTCACACATATAAAAATGTTTGTTTCAACCTAAGAAAGGTTGAAAAAATTTGAAATTTTGAACTTGTGAGACATTTTGGAGGAACATAATTTGGTTGAACTTCAATTAAATATTTGTCAGACTGAAACGCCATTTCGGGAGTAAATTTTTTTTATTGCTTGATTCTTAAATTATTTTATAACTTTTCCCATCCAAAATTTGTTAGCTTGATATTTGTGAAGTATTCATGTAATGTTTGTAACCCAATAAATGTTGTAAAAATTATCCTACAAGCTGAATACAGAATTTTGAATCTATAGAAAAATTAGATCTTTTGATTTATGAATAAAAGGTGATTTGAGCTTTGTATAAGACAAAATTTAGTGCTATTCATGTAAGCAATTGAAATGTTTTATTACTGATGTACTTTTTAACCTCACCTTTTTGAAAGATCTTCGTGAAATCCAAAAAGTTCACGGTTTCATGGACAGGACGACGTGAAACGGAAAATTTGCTTAATTATAAGTGATTCTAACTTTACTCGACACTTTCACTTTTGATTATAGGGAAGCTTTCACTGCCTACTTTTTCGGTGTTATCAAACTCAAAAATTCTCATTTTGCCCCAAAACACTCTTTGATAAAATTTTATTTTATTTCGAACTTACATATCGACAACTTCGATAGCTTATCCTTACTTTCTTCACGTAATAGTAAAGCTATACAGCTCATTGAATTGCGAACTTTTGCTGCTTTCTCCTCGACTTCTCGATATGAACTAAATTCAGTTTTATTTTTGCCCAGTATGAACCTTTCTTGGTTTGTGTTTGATGTCTCACCACCTGACTTTTTTATGCAGTCGGTCCCTTCTTCACTACGAAAACGTGGCTGCATTTCATGGCGGACTTTTATTAATTTACACCTGTACCTGGACTCACTCCTCCCACAGATTCCATTAATTTTGGCTGATATGATTATTACCACCTTTCAAAACACACGCATACGTCCACCCACTCATTCATTCACTACTTGTATTAAGTTAAGGCCTTATCTTTCCCTGGTAAAATTGATAACGGTAACAATTCCACGGAGGAAATTGTAAGCATTATTGATTAGAGGACCGTGCAGAAAGCATGTAATTGATTTAATGGGGGAGGGGCAAAGGTCAATGCATCCTACTCGGCTTCCATGGGGTCAAAATTCTCTAAGCATGGATCTCCACACGTGCTTTACGCAGCGTCCCAAATATTGTACTTATTGTGGCGAAGAGTAAATCACTAGACGTCGGATGGATGGGTGGAAATGGAGATGGAGGAATAAATTGAGGTATTTTGTCCAGGAAGGAAGGAAATGATTTGATTTGATGGAATTACTTGCTAACTTAGTCCCTCGTGGTTTGGGTTTTGTTGTGATTTATCCCCTCCCTCGATTACAAGTGACTTGTTGGTACGTTTTGGTTCGGATTAGTTGGCACGAAGCCAGCACGCCAGCCAAGCCAGTGACTTTGTTCCTTAGTTTGATGGTAGGATTGATGAAAAATTGGAAAAAAATGAGAAAATATGGTGACAAGGCACCTGTCCATTATAGTTTACTCATTTTTTTGTGGTGGTATCGGGGCTTTGGGTAGGAAAAAAATTGTCACCGGGAATTATGTCGATTCGGCTGCCTGCCACATATTATTTAGGGTGCAGCTATTTTTGATGAGATGGAAATGCGGTGGTCGGCGGTGAAGGTAAAAATTGTAATGAGGCAGGTAAGGAGTGGAATGCGTGTTGTCTACATGTCATTAGGGTTCAAGTAGTGGTGGTATGTGGTTGGTTGCAAGTAATGGAGTCCATGTCAGGCCAGGAAACTAATGAGTCTTCCATTGGGAAGAAGGAAATTGACATTATGCATGCATTTTCTTTACCTTGTTAATAATAAGTCAACTTTGCCTACCTGTCCGTGCCCACCTGGCTCCGAGCGAGTGAGTGAGTGACAAAGGTAGCAAAGAAAGGCTGGAAAGGCTTCTTTTTACAAAAAATGTGTTTTTTTATTTTATTTTATTTACTTATTTTTTTGGTCGATGAAGGATTAAAAAGAGAGGGAAATAGGATGCACTCTAAATAAATTTTATCTGGCTCTGAGACAAATTTTTTACAAGGATTTTTTACAAAGGACTAATTATTATGAACTTTGCGAGTAGTAAGAATGTAGGAATATAAAATTTCTGAATACAATTTAGATTTTTTGGTAAAAAAATACACGCATTTGCTTCGAAAATGACAAAAAACACTAATAAAAAATCGGTTAAGTGAAAGTTTTACAGGGAAACTTTCACTCGTACATTTTATTAATAATATTTCACTGAAATTGAAATTGGCCACCGTAGGATGAAGTATTTTGTTACTGGATTATTTAGAGTGTGGTCTCTTGAGTGATTGGATTTGGAATGGAATGCATGATGGGCATACGCATAGTTAGCTGGGAGTCTTCTTCACTGAAATTAGTATGGAAATTGACATGATTACTACTTTACTACGAGTCCGACGAAATTACTCCGGAGAAGAAATTATGCTATGCATTCGTCTGTAAATTATTGTAATGCGTCACAAATTATGCCAAAGCCAAAGCCATCTCCTTAGCTAAATTATCTTCATTTAATGGATTTCAGCAGTAATTATATAATATGCTACATTGCCATCCATCATAGGAC